CCCCAAAACCCCAAAACCCCAAAACCCCAAAACCCCAAAACCCCAAAACCCCAAAATATTTTAGTTTATTTGAAATTGCGCACAAAAATGAATTATGGAAGACACTCTTACAAACCTCCCATGGTGAGGGACACCTCGGGAGGGTCTAGGTTCGACTCTGGTAGGAAAAGCATGAATACTTCTCTTGTAGGCCTTAAGAAGCATCGTGGTGGTAAAGTCCCTAAAGACTCAAAGAAATTTTCTAAAATTGATAGTCAGAGACAAGTCAGGGAGAAGATTATATCTATCCTGAAGTATTCAGGGAGGATCAAGTCTGAATCGGACCTTGACTTTAAGATCATGGATAAGACACAAAACTCAGTGTTCAAAACATTGACTATTCTGATATCGATAATGTTAGATTTTGAGGTAAAGAAGGTAGATGATGTCTATTCAATTGCATACAAAATATTCCAATACCCTTATGAAATCTCCCAGCATGCATTTGTGCCCCTAGGAGCACCGAATACATGGTCTCAGCTAGTATATTTCTTTGACTGGATTGCAGATATCCTCCAGAGTTACCTAACTGGCAGTGATGATGCCATTATGGAAGAATCTGAAGATGATGAATACAGGAGATCCTCCATGGACAGAATTATTGAAATGGAGTCCTCTCAGTTCTTTGACCATCTTCCAAATGCTCCCACCTTGAAGCAGAACTCTAGATTCATGAAGTACATCGAGAAAATGAGGAACAAGCAACGATTCGAGGAATCTAAGGGGTTTAACAGCCAAGCAGTTCCTGATCCCCAGAAGTTACTAGAAGAAGAGACTGAAAATATTAGGATTTCCATTGGTAAATATGAAGAAGAAATCGAAACAATCAACCATAAGATGAATGAGAGAGTGCTTAAAAGACAAAAGATAGAAGAAATGGAAAATAACCTCCAGGCTCTGATGGACCAGACCAAATCCGTTCAAGATGCTGTCAACCATCTCAACAAATCACTTGAATCTAGGAGGGATCAGGAAGAACAGCTGTCTAGAAGCATTGAAGAAGTAAACACTCAGATTAAGAGCATCCAGACCAATATAGATCAGCAGATGTACACCGCCTTTGAGAAAGAAATGGCAGTCAAGAACATTGAGGATCTCGGTCATAAGAAATCAGCACTTGAAAAGAAGAACTCTACGTTAAACCAAGAAATCAGTGAAGGAAACCGCGAAATTCATCTAGACTGACTACAAAGTATCAGTAAGACTATTGCAGAGATCTCAGAGGAACTTGGAATCCTTGATCAGCAAGAGAACTTTGACGGGATCATTAAGAGCATGGAAATAGATGCTATAAACTCTATCTGTAGCGAACTTGTCACTGCAATTAGAGATAATATCAACAATGTCAATCTTGAAAAAGAAGCTTTGGTCACTGACCAAATGAGTGCGGAGAACGAATATAGAAAACTCCAATCTGACTACTCCACTAAGAAAGTTGAGTATGATAATGAGATGGTCAGAAACCAAAAACTCAAGGATGAGTCTGACCAACTCCAGGAATCCCTGAACAGCTCTATCCGCCCAGATGGGACTGAAATGAAACTAAAGAGAGAACTTTCCGAAAAGAACAATGAAAAGTTAATGCTCATAAAAACCTGACAACTGAAGAGAGAGAAAGTAAAAGAAGATTTGGAAGTATTGAAGACCAAATCCCAAAAAATTTTCAACATGATCCAAGATACTCAAAATAAAGAGCAACAGCTTGAAAGTTTGGAGAATAGCTTATGGTAAAAGCTCATATTTTTCCCTTGATTCATCCTTAAAATATTCTGAAAGAGTACCTTATCTGTGCTGCTTGTCAGATAAAGCTTCTAGAGCATCTAGACTTGCTGAAGGAGGTTCAATAAAAGGACTAACTTATAGAGAGGTTTAGAGCTGAAAGTCTTACTATAGTTATTCAGACTTCCACATTTAGCCTTATGTGGGTGTTATGAATAGTAATGCTCAAAGTAGAGTCAGAATACGGGCTAGATTTATGGTATAAGGTTATAATGGTTCTTAGCAGACCAATTCATCCATACTTTTGGTTTTGTTGTAGAAATGTTCAGTATATGTATCATTGAGGCTTCAAGAAGCCAAATTCAACATTTTAGAAGGATTATTCTCTAGTTTTTAGCATATTCAATGTTATTCATACTTTTGGGGTTTTGGGGTTTTGGGGTTTTGGGG